GTTTTGATTTTGTTCAATAATGGCAACGTATAAAATAATTACATTTTGTTTTTGTCCAACAACGACAACATGGAAAATAATTATGTTTTGCTTTTGTTCAATAATGACAATGTGGAAAATAATTATGTTTTGTTTTTGTTCAATAATGCTGACAAATCATTTTGTTCATCTTTCTTTCAATCTTCATCAAAATACAAAACTTACAGGAACTTTTACTAATAATAAAGGAATATTGAGTGAAGAAGAAATGTATATAAAACAACATGTAAAACAAAAACATTAGGATGGCATGACAGTGACATGAAATGTGCTGCCTATGAACATTAACTTATTAACAGTATACAGATATCTTCATTATGGTTAAAAACGTCTTAACATAATGTTGTTAACTGATTAACATCTAGCTGGAGTACCTGTACCCTGGACAGAAGTTATGTAAATTCATGATTAATGAAAGGTTATATTACGACATGAAAAGCTGCATTACCTTATATGTAATTGTAAAAAATACCAATAAAAACTACAAAACATAGAATATGAAACCACAAATTTACATATGTCTCTGCATGAACTCATCAAACCTTCATGCCAAATTTGGTGAAAATCCATCAACAGGAGGTCAGGAAGTGGTAAAAAACATAAAAATGGCCATAAAAACTGCAAAATACAAAACTGAAAATTTGTATGTATCTCCCCAAGGACCCAATGAATCTCCATACTGAATTTGGTGAAGAACCATCCACAGTTGGTTAAGTATTGGTAAAAAATGCAAAAAGGCCCATAAAAACTGAAAATTTGTATGTACTTCTACATGGACCTTATGTACCTTCATACCAGTTTTTGTGAAGATCCATCCACACCCTGTGAAGTATTTACATGGACAGTACTATAATAATTATATAGATATAAATATATATATATATATACATATACATATCATTCATTATTTTAAAATATATATATATAAATGTTGCTAACTTATTAACAATATACACATATTTAATTTGGGATAGTAAAATATAAATGTTGATGATCGTTAACAAGATAAAGACATATTATTTGTTTTGGTAACATGTATAACACAACTCTCTACTTACATTTCTTGCTGATTCTTGTAAGCCTGCATTTGTTCTTCCAGAATACTTCTGTATTCTTCTTGTGTGTATTTCATATTTTTATGTTTGTGCTCATTACCTAAGATATAAAATTATCTTCATTTCAAAGCTTTTTTTAACCTTAAAACATCTGGAAATTAGTGGGATTAACTGTCATAATGATGGAATTTTGTTTGACTCATATATCATTATAAGGATAGTGTATCCAACTAAATCATTGACCTTGAGCAATATGATACAAAAATAAATGTATTAAAAATAAGTGATCCAGTGTTTCTAGCATTAAAATAAAGATATATGATGTAGTAATTTTAGTACTGACATAAACTTGTGTCTTTGTGATTTGTCACAAGTAATTGTTTGAAATTTAAAATTACATATATTTAACATACTAAATTCTGGGCATATTTATTCAAAATATTAATTAGAATTACAAACATTAAGTTTCAGACTGTTTATCTTTTACTCAGTTTAGAATTGTTAAAATTTCTTTACCCGTCATTTATTTTCACTTGTCATATGTAACACATTTTAATTTGTATAACATGTATTATATGACCCAATATGCCATACTTCAGGGCACTGTTATACCCCAGAGTATTGAACACACTCATAAACAGTACATTCTGGGATATGTCTTAGTTTTTTTGGAGCACGTGGAGGATAATAACTACAAAGTTCAGGGCACCTGAACAAAATCCTCAGTAATCAGAAATATATATCAGAAATAATTCCTCAAAATGGACAAAAAACTCCCGATGAACAGGACATCTGGAGTTACAGGTCATACATACTTTATATATAAGTGTTCCCTGTATTTGTACATATCTAACATAATGAGAAAATAAGGTGTGAAAGTTCAATCAAAAAGCAGGAAATGTTACAATATCAGAGAAATTAAAATTAACAGCACTTATACCTGAAAGATGACACACCAAAGTCGAGGCTGGGACACTCTGGCTGTTCAAAGTTGGAACTGACACTGAAGGTTGTATTCTATGTAGGAAGAACAAAATGTAATATAATTAAGAAAATAAAAACTCTAATAATTGTTACAGTGGAGATGAGGATATATTTAAAAATAACATTATAATCATTAAAGATAACTTAATGTAAAAAAGTGTTAGAGAACTAAGTAGAATCAATTTGTTTCTTTAAGATAAGAATTAGGATACTGCAGAACTATGACAAGGTTATTTTGGATGGGGGGGGGAAGATATACTTAGGGTATTTGGATTATTCAGTTAAATACTAGTCCACTTAATGACAATGAAAATGTCTCTGTTTTTGAAATTCTACTAGTTAAGTAAGTAATATTCATTTTTTTCCTATACATACAGTGCTTTCTCATACTTTAGAAGTCTGTTGAAACACAAACTCATTATTCACAAAACTAATAATAAACTTGCTAACTCAATAATCAATCCACCACTGTAACAGACTAACCCACCAATCAACAATCTCTTCTAACTCACATGTTATCTCTGTAGTACAGGGAAGTAATAAATGTTTTAATTAAAAACTTTTATTGTTTTTCATACTTTCAGTTTCAGATGCATAGGCACTGAAGCAACTTACTAACTTTAGCTTACTCTAAGTTGCAAGCAGAGTTTTCTGTAGCTTGTTTGGCTCTTTTACAGGATTACTAAAGCTGCATTTAATCAAATAAGTTACACTATTTCTGCTGGTAAATCAGACAGGAGCTGCAAACAGTTGAGCACTTAGTCTAAACCCCCTTATCTAGTTGAGCTTACAAGCACTAATCCTGGTTGTTTTACATGTTAAACAGCTGAGGCTAAATGGTATATTTAAATATTTATGTTTGGAGAATCAGACAACAACTGCAGGCAGTTAAGCAATTCATCTGAACTGACCATTGGATAGTTGGGCTAGCTAACACCAATCCTGGGATTTTTTATGTTAAACAGCTGAGGCTAAATGGTATATTTAAATAGTTATGCTTGGAGAATCAAACAACAACAGCAGGCAGTTAAGCAATTCATCTAAACTGACCATTGGATAGTTGGGCTAGCTAACACCAATCCTGGGCTTTTTTATGTCAAACAGCTGAGGTTAAATGGTATATTTAAATATTTATGTTCGGAGAATAAGACAACAGAAAATGTGAGATTCCTCACCTGTTGCAGATTGTGTATTTTGTTTTTATTTTACATTAAATGTAAAGTATGAAGCATTATTAATAGACCATTTGCTCCACATTATTAGAATCATTTGTTAAGTAAAGTTGTTTCAGTGCAATCAAAGTTAGGACTTGGATTTCACTTTGTTGCTTAGTAACTCATTTTAACTTAAATTGGGGGAATTTTCTTTTATTATTTGCTTTGGCTCTAGTTAAATTTACAGGTGGAAGAACACACACTAGCAAGAGTCTTACTTATTAATAAAGCATTTCTAGTCTTACACTTTCCACTCTGTGGTGCACAAAGATTCATTTACCAACTTGTTCAGTGTATTAGTGTACTGTATAGCATTGTTCATTATCAGGACTCGAAATTAGCAGAGGCCCCCCAAAAATACCAGTGTGCTTGTAAAAAAATGTCTGCTAGGTAGTCCACATGGCCCCTTAAAATCAAAAGAGCCATTATAAAGTTTGACACCACATAAACTGATCTAAGCATTTCTTAACCGAGCAGAACTTATGACAAACCATGAATGGACGTTCCCAAATTTACGAATACTTGTCAGTCATGTACAATCCACAAATGTCATCACTAAAAATGGCCATGTATTAAAAGTAAATAAGAACGTCATCACAATATTCAAACTTTTTGTATCAGTGTAATTGAATTGATATATAAAATTTTAAATATAGTATTTATTTGAACATTTATACAGAGGACTATTGTTTTCAATCAGAAGTTATAACTTTTCCTATACTGAAAATGTATTTCTGATAGCTAGTTACCTCCGCTTACATATATAGCTATTCTCATTCAGTGCTGCCCTCTATATGCAAAACATTTTTGAATGGCACAAGCCTTGCACTCCCATGTACCCCACAATCACCTTGGTCCAACTGTGTCTCACATGTAAATCATCATGTGACAATCTTTCACCAATAGGAGTGTGACACATTTTCCTGAGCACGTGACACCCTCTATTCGCTTCTACCGAATTATCACTTCAAGTTTAGACAGAAAAAGAAGCACTGGTGGGAGAGAAAGGGCAGGAAATGTGAAAGGAGGTAAGTTCCTATCGGAAATACATTTTCAGGACAGGGAAATTATAACTTCTAATATGGATATGGTACATTACCTCCTATCACATTTATAGCTAGAATCCCACATTGAATAGGTGGATGGACCGGTGCATAGAAATAAGCATCCATCGAAATCATCCAAAGAACACCCAAGAACTGTGATCCCTGTAGTAGTGGATCATATGTGGGAGACCACACCACTTTTGTACCAGGTATACTCTGCACCCAGTCTGGAAAGATGTTGCATACACATGCTGAAAAAGGAAGGGAAAATGGTTGGATTCAAATCAAAACCACAGTATATAATAATCTCAATCGCATCAAAAAAAGACCATAGAAGAAACATCTCCAAACGGTAATGTGGGGGAAAGCTTAAATGGATGTGCTCCAAGGTGTAGAGTAATTAGGAGGTGACCAATTATAAAAGGAGGCAAACCTGTAGGGTACAACACTACTTCTGGAACAGGTATGCTCTTCCCCCAGTAACGTTAGACAGATTCTGCCCATGGACAACAGACAGTACATAAGACATCCACAAATGTAACGAGCATGAGCAAGTGACACAATGGAGATCCCTGTGTTCTGTTAATAGAAAATGTGGCTAGGACTAAAGGCCTGTATATGAATAGGCCAAGTATGGTCCACGCAGTCAAAAAACATTCAGGGAAAGCACCTTGGGAAATGAGGGATTATGCCAAGAGCAGTCCATCTGGGCAAAAACAACAGTGGAAGTTTGTAATAACAACAAGTGTGGTCCACCCAGGCAAAAAACAAAAAACATCCAGGGGAAGCACCTTGGGAAATGAAGGATTATGCCAAGAGCAGTCCATCTGGGCAAAAACAACAGTGGAAGTTTGTAATAACAACAAGTGTGGTCCACCCAGGCAAAACAAAAAACATCCAGGGGAAGCACCTTGCATAAGATTGTTTGTTTCATATCTTGTATGTAAGATATATAGAGATCAAAAAGTTCAGATAGCCTGAGCAAAAATATCCCGGGAAAGCACCTTGTGATGTTATTGAGTATAGCAAGTGCAGTCCATCCAGTGGAAGGGCCTTGCATAAAAATTTTATTTCATGATCAACAAGTGTAGTTTACCTAGGAAAAAAAACATCTAGGAGAAGTGCCTTGGGTTGAGCATATGATGATAGCGTATAATATGAAATATAACGATGATAGCCTGTTTCTCACTGAGTGGGTACAAACGATCTATGAATTTTGAATTGGTTTATTGTACAAACCCACTCCTGAGGAAACCTCCGAGGTCCAAACACATTATGTAGACAGCGATTTTTCCATGAACACGTCGAAATACACCAGTCATATGAGTTGACAAACCCAACCAGTGAGTGTAATAAGTGAAAGATCACGGAAAAGAGGGGAATGACAGGAACAAGACTACAAAAATAGGAAGTACAAGAAATAACCAGGGAAGAGAAGGATTTCTGGAAGAGGGAGAACAGAAGATGTACGACAGGATAGTCCTATAAAGAACAATAGTTGAAACAGACAAACTCTGAACAAACAACCAGATGAAGAAGTGGAACAAGTGAGGAACAGAAGGATAGGATGGTCAGAAGCCATGGCAACTAGACCAAAGTCTGAAGTAAGACCCAAGCCTCTGGAACATAGACAAGAAGGAAGGGCGAATGGTACAGGTAAGGAAAGATGCTACACGAGGGGTGAGTCCCAGAGGTGAGGCATGTGACCTGACAAAAGTCACATGTGATGATGGAGTTTGGTGACATTGTTATGAAATATGTCTGATCACAGTTGTCAGAGGAGCATTCAGAGAAAATGGCAGGGGCTGTTGCTCCAGTAAAGGCCAGAGCAGAGGGAACCACATCTGATCTGGCCAATATGGAGCAACCAGCACTGGTCAAGAAGCATACAACAAAGGTAATACATGTGCAACTGACCCAAGGGAATGAAAACTTCCAAGGAAAGAAATTCCACATTCCCAAAAGAAAAAGAACTTTTCGTGCAGAGAGAAGGAGAAGGTAGGGCTATTATGACTGCCCATTCCATATCCTGGAGCCGAAGTAGAGAAGGATGGAAAGAAAACCACCACATGAATAAGATACTAAGAGGGGGGTAATAAAGGACTTCTCCAACTTGATGAAAAACCCCACTCAAGCAACTTCTCGAAGAAGTAAGCAGGTGTGACTGACTGACTGGGCATGGGAAGATGTGAGCAGAAGCCAATCATCCATGGACTCGAGACTCCAAAGACCCAGCAAGTGAAGGTGATGTCCAAAAGAGCATACCACTCAACAAAACACATATGGAGCTAAAGAATAAAACCAAACAGTAGCGCCCAGAACTGGAAGACAGAACCTTCATAGACAAACTGAAGAAAAACGAGGTGACACTGGGGCAAAAAAAACCCACCGAAGTAGGAGGTAGGACTCTATGGTGAAGTAAGGTGTCTCCAAATAAGTATAATGCTGGAACAGAGCTATGTTAGGACTACAATCGCTCTTGTTTTTGGAAACAGCACAAAGACGGGAGTAAAATCCTGGTTGAGCATGCACCACCTGTTCAATAGCTCCTTTGTGTAGTAGGTCTCAAACAGACTCTGCAAGACGACTGGACTAAGTACAAACCCTAGGAGAAGGGAAGGAGATCTGGGAAGTGGATAGATGGGGAGCGAAATGCCAAAAACCCTCAGGTAGAACCCATATAACCCATGGAACTGTTGTGAAGTGTAGCCAAAAAGACACACATACTAAACATGCATAGAGAAAGGACTCATTACTAACAAAACTTAGAAACATGTAGAGTCTACAAAGTACAGAAAACTAACAAACCTGCAAAACTATGAAATGTGACTGCAAACATAACAGAATAAGTAATACCTAAAGTGCAAAACCACTAAAGGAACTTAGAAGATAAACGACCCTTAAATATATAACTTATAAGTCCAGTCAAAGAATCTATAAGATAAAGGACACAAAATTAAAACCTACCATAAAGAATATGAGAATAAAAAGGCACCCAGTTAACAATAACAAAGTTTGACTCAAAACTAATCTCCAATTAGATGCGACTAGTGGTAAAGAAAAAGGAACTGACAAACTAAATAACATTAACAGAGAAAAGAAGTAAAACTTTAAACAAAAATAAAGGAATAATCAAACTCCAAATGCAAGTTTAAACTAAAGTAACCTAGACTGTAAAAGAAGTAGAAAAATCTAACTTACCCAACATTTATTAGAGAAGATATGAATGACCTAAATTATCGTGTGCAGAAATTAGATCCATCCACATATAAACTCACTGAACACTGGTATACCCACAGGGAGTGAGAAAAACACACTGAAAACTTACCACAGATCTCCTGGAAAAAAGAACAATACCTAACCCAGTAGATTACGTGGAGGTGCAGTATGAAGTGGAAAGTGCCACAGAAAGACAATTTACACACAGTAGTTATATCTCTCTTCAAAATAAAAAAATGTAACTTGAAAGGAAAATCGTCGGCTGAATGTAAGACACTAACTCCCCTTGAACTAAAGCCTGTGCTTCCCCAGGAGACATCGTCGGCCCTGAGAACTGTGATTAATGTCAGAACAATTGTCTGCTTATGGCAGGAATTTCATCATCCACCATATTAAATCTCGAATTCATATGAACAAAGTATAATTCAGAAAACAGGAATATTTCTAAAAGGATGGAAATGAAACACCAGAAGTCAAAACTTGAAGTTGAAATTGATATAAATTTGTTATCAAGCACAATCAAAATCTTGTAGTCACATAGAGAACGAGTTAAAACACACGTCTAAACACTAGAATGCGAATCGAGAAAGTGAGAATTGTAGTGAAATGGTAGAGGTAGCTACCTGCACTGGTATAGTTAGCACAGTATGATTGATGGAGGGTAGTCACAAGATCAGCACATGTTGCTGCAATGGCACAAAAATGAAGGAGTATAATAGACTGGTGCACTATTGAAAAATTTTAGCAATGCTTAGAGGGGAAATCAAGGTCGAGAGAGCTTTGGGTCAGGGGAGGTAGTACCATTCGAAAGTTAACAGCACAACTATCAACATGAAAATCTAAATTATGGCAGGAAAACAGAGTTTATATATGTTCTCCTGATGCAAGTGCAATATGTCACATGCAATGTGGGAGAGTGTAGAACTCTGAGTAAGTTGATGCATGCTATGCCAAGAACATTCAGAACTTTACTAATGGCATGAAAGCTACTCAGCACGACAAGGTTCTTAGTATTCCAGAGGTAAGTCTATCTGATCTAAATGTATAGCCGAGTGATAAAAAGTCAAGTCAAATGTCTAAAGGTTCCAAGACACAAAGAGAAACTTATATTTATATATTTCTTTTCTATTCCAAAAAATCACTGAACAGTTTTTGTGTTTAATAATGCTGATATTTTCATGTGTTCAGTTTAAATTTTTCATTATTAGTAAATTATGAAAATTACCTGTGAGATTTGTTCCCTAAAATTTGCTTGTTTGTTTTCAATTTCCTGCAAAGCTACTCGATGACTGTCAGCACTAGATGTCTCTAATTCTGAGGTGAGAGACTAGAGAGAAAGCAGTTAGTCAACTACCCACTACTAACTCTTGGATTACACTTTAGCAATGAACAGTAGGACTGACTATCACATATAAAGTCCCCACAGCTGAAAGATCAAGCATTTTGGGGGACAGGATTCGAACCTGTTACCCCTCAGATTGTGAGTCAAGTGTCATACCACAACCCCTCAAACTTAACCTAACAATAGAGAAAACCAGGAGAATAAGTTTTACAAAAATAGTACATTAATGGTTAGAATCAGCTGAAACTCTATTTATTCACTATAGTGCTAGTTAAATTTCACGTTTGTAGGTTATTACTACACACCTTCTTAGACCATGTCTTAAGGTAGCCTGGGAGCTATCCATGTCATCCAAAGTCAGTTTCTAAATAAAACAAATATTTTAGGTTTGTTAATCCAAAGTAGCATGAACATTGATCACAAAGGTAATAGTTTTAGTTTCTAAACCCTAAGAAATTGTGAATATAGAACAAGGTACAGCTTCAACTTCTAATCCTATAAAAATGATCTACATTAAACAACTGTTTTATATTTACATTAAATTTCACCAACTATGGCATGTTATTAATAGGTAACCAATGTTATTCGTCAATATAGTATGGGCTATTTAATAAGCCTAATTTTTCTTTTAATGTATACTTAGCAATTCTACAGGAATTATAAGTTTATACAAATAACAAAATAATATTATTGTTTTTATTCAATATAAAAACATATTTATAATCTGAAAAAAAAAAAGTTTTAATTTGCTTTGTTCACACTTTTTCATGTTTTCACACTGGAAAAGGTTGAAAGTTATAATTTTCCTATACTGAAAATGTATTTCCACCTCTAACATAAATAGCTATTCTTGTTCAGTACTGCCCTCAATATGCAAAAACTTTTTTTTACGCATGCCACAAGTCTTTTTTTCTCCCCTCTATGGGAATTGACTAATTCCAATGCATCTCTCATGCAAATCATCATGCGACAACCCTCCACTAATAAGAGTGTGACATACTCTCATTATGCATGTGATCCCTCTGTTCAATTCTACATAACTATCACTTTGAGTTTTAGTAGAAAATAGAAGCACTGGTTTTCACTGGGGAGGAATGGTGGGAAGTGTAAGTGGAGTTAAGTAGTTACCAGAAAGACATTTATAGTATAGGAAAATTATAACTTCCGATACAGTACATTACCTCCTCTCACATAAATAGTTAGAATCCCATATTGAATAGGTGGAGGGACTAGTGCAAGGGAAAGAAAGAAGCATTCGAAGGACACTTCCTAAAATGAAACAGTCGAATTTTAAGATCTGATGAGTGAGACTGCACCTCATCTGAACCAGGTATACTCTTCACCCATCAAATAAAGATGTGGCATATATGGGTGAAAAACAAAGGAGCACATCCACTTGGAAGAGAACGATGGCCAGAAAGTGATCTGAATCATGCAGTATTTGTGAAACTCAATCCTAGAAATTATAAAAGTGGGTAAAATGAAAAAGATATTCCCCTAGGTGTAGAGTGGCTCGAATGTGATGGACCATACACGGCAAGTCAACTACATCCAAAACCCATGCCACTGGGAACCGACATCAACACGGGGGTAGAATGAGGATCATACCATCGTTAAGTCAACTACAATCCAAAACCCGGCCACTGGTACTGACATCCAGGTGGGGATAGGATAGGAAAGAGGATCATATCACCTGCAAGTCGAGTACAATCCAAAACTCAGGCCGCTGGGAACCAACATCCACATGTGGGTAGAAAAGAGGATTATATCGGTGGCAAGTCAACTACAAACCAAACCAAGCCATCTGGTTGGGGTAGGAAAGAGAATCTTACCATCTTCACTTCAAGTTCATGAGACCTGAGGGAATCTATTACCCCCAACTCATGAACAGGCCACATGTAAATATGCTAAATCTCCCTCAAAAGTGAAATTGACCAGAACCACCCTAAGTGCATTAGCAATTAACATCCTCGAAATAAGAAACATTGAGAGATAGCAGAAGGGAAAGAACCATAACAATCTGCAAGTACCTCCACCGTAACCCACAACACTGATGTAGTATAAGTGAGGGAGGAATACAGACATCTGAAATATATGTAGGTCTTATGTTGATTGGTTCTACTCTAAATCTAGAACCTGGCCACTGATGTCTCACTCCCATTTGTTTTTATGTTTCATATTGGAGGATATCATGTCATCTACACTAGCAGAACACCACTGCCCTACTCTCAATTGAATGGTTTTATAATCATTTCTATATTTTGTTTGTATTTCATGAACCCCTTCAGGAGGATACCTCCATGGTCTACCACCACAGCAGCTTGGTACTGGAAAGTGGTAAAGACTCTGAAACTCCACTAGAAGAAAAGGGGGTAAAACGTGGTGGAGAGTCCAGCAAAATGACAACACCTTAGACAGTGCAATGGGTGACCATGAAACTCATTTTTTAAAAGCAGACCCTACCGATTTATTTAATATAATAGCAAGGATGAGCAGTTATCCTCTTCTACTTTACCCATGGGTGGGTATGGTCTGTGATGGGCAAACTTATGAAGCAATTCTATAATGAGGATAAACCTACAAGTGATGTTGTGTGCAGTGTGCATTGCATGGTCATGGAATTATAATATGCAAGTCGATATGACTTGACAGTGCGGATTTTAACAGTTAAAAAATAACTGGTCAGGCACCACTTACCACAGAACAGGATCCAACCAATGAGTAATAATAATAAAAAGGGAAATAAGACCCCTGAAAATAAAATAAAGAATAATAAAATATAATTTACCTAGTCCAAATCCGGAAGGGCAGCCTGTTGTGGTGGATGATGAATCCGGAAGGAATGCAATAACAGGGAAAGCATAGGAGAAGTAAATACCCTACAGTATCAGAAAAACTGAAAAGTGTGATACAAGGCCACCCGATATCAAGAAGACAGAAGACCCCCAATTGAATAGCCAAGTAGTAAAATTTACAATATGAGAAACAGTGGGTCAATAAGCAGAAAACCCTCAGCCCGGGGACCAATGGCAGAAAACGTTCCAATTATGTAGATAAACTTCCATGGAGGAAGGGCAAATGGAATGAGTCAGAAATGAAGCTACTTGTTAGAACAAGTCAGATATCCTCACCAAGGACAGGATAAAAACCAGGTGTGAAGATGGAAGAGATGAAGGGATGGATGAAGAATCGGTGACTGAGGTTGACAAAGAATGGAAGGAGAGAGAGAGAGGAAGATGTAACAGAGGGGTATGTTGGAATTGGAAAAGCCATGGAAACCATGGGTGAGCTGGCCAGTAGGAAGCAATCAGAAGGACTTGACACAAAGTGGTTTGGATGATCACAATCATCCAGTGAAAAAGCTAAATGGGAGGATAAACATATAGGTATTTGTTGTCCCAGTCTTGGCTGAAAGCATCGATAACCAGAGACCAAACAGAAGTAATCTGTGGTTGAAAGACATGCCAATAGCATCTATGTGAGGAGTATCCCCTGAAGGCAAAGCCACTGGAAAACAAGAGGATCGAGAGACCACTCCATTGGATAGAGTTTTGTCTGGCTGGGAAAGCCAATCCACAACAAGATCAAAAGCACTCGGAATAAGACATGCAATGATATGAATATCTTGCATGTGCCCCCCCCCCCCCAAATCCAATGTATGAATATAGAGGGATCAAGAATGGGTGTCACCCTGCTGATTGAAATAAGCAACCACTGTAGAATTCTCAGAATGGATCATTACCAGACGATTTCCGACCAGATGGAGAAAATGAACCAAAGCCCAACATACAGTAAGAAGCTCCAGGATGTTGATATGATAAGACCTCTTAGCTGCAGTCCAATACCTAAAGCTTCCTGTTGATTGACCCATGACCCCTATTAATGAAGGGATGCATCCATGAAAATGTGTAAATCTGGATGAGGAGGAGGAAGTGGAACACCTGCCAATGTGTGAGTCTTGTCCAACCATCATTGCAGATCATCAACTAGGGTAAGAGGAAGGGTAATAAGACCCTGCAAAGAGCACACATTTGTGCACAACCTAAGGGCTGCCATGGAAGACCACATTCCCAAAAGCAACTGAACATCACAAGCTGTAATAGAGGGAGCAGTAAAAGCATGAAGAACTGAAAGCTCCATAGAACAAAATCGAGGAAAAGAAGGTTGGGCCCGACTGAGATGGGTGTTGAAAAAACACACACAAATGAACAAGATATTGGGTAGGTTGAAGGAATGACTTCTTCAACTTGATTAACCAGCCCACTCGAGCCACCTCCAGGAGCAGCTAATGATTGTGATAGGCAAACTTCTGTTCAGAACAAGCTAACAGTAGCCAGTCATTCATGTAATGATGAAAGTGCAACCCAAGAGCATGTAGGTGACAAGCAAATGCTCTGACCACCCAACAAAAAAATATGGGGCCGAAGCAAGCCAGAAGGGCAGTGTGTGAAATTGATAAAACAACTCATGATGAACAAACCAAAGATATGGTCATAACTGAAGAGATATTGGGATATGCAAATAAGCATTCACAACATCCATCTTGGTCATCCACAAACCTGGAGAATAAGCCCACCTGAAGGTGAGAAACAATTCTATGGTAAAACGGGGTAGACTGCGAAATTGATTGAGGCAGAACAAATCTATTACAGGTTGCCAGTCTCTGGTTTTCTTGAGAACAACAAATAGCCTGGATTTAAAACTCTGGAGAAAGATGATGAACAAGTTCGATGGCCTGTTGAGACAAAAGGTCTTGTACTGCCTCTGACAAATGCTGGTAGGTGAGAGGATCCCGAGACATAAGGAAAGAAACAGGTACCCAAGACTAAGGAGGGGAGAGAGAGAAATTGGAGGACAAGTCCCTCTGCAAAAAATAAACAAATAACCCACTGATCTGGGGCAAAAGATCACAAATTCGCATAATCGAGCTTCTCCCATTCCAGAACCCACTGGGTAATCACCAATACTGTTAGTGCCGTGCTCATCTACATGGAATAAAAAGATAAAATGAGTAACCCCTGGAGAGAGGAACAGGTAAGGGCTGAGAAGGAATAAGATGAGACTTGTCATGGTTTCTACTTCAACAAACAAGCTACCAAAGAGAAAAGGGTAGAGTGTTGATGCACACGTGATTCCAAAGTCTCAGGTACATGATCGAAAACATACCACCGAATAAAAGGAGCCATACATAAACCCCTTAGATAAGTGGGTGGCAAATGAATCTGGGACATAGCTGCATCGTGACCCAGAAGATCCCAACAACAGAGAAACCACGTGTGTAAAGCAAGAGTCAATACAAGTACCGCCAAACAAAAAGTGATAGTTAGTTGAATTGAATACAGGGAGTCACATCCGAAATGAGTGTATGTCATACTCTTATTGGTGGAGGCTTGTTGCATGGTGATTTGCATGAGAGATGCATTGGAATTAGTCAATTCATATGGAGGGGAGAAAACAACCTTGTGGCATGCATAAAAACATTTTTTTGCATATAGAGGGGCAACACTGAATGAGAATAGCTATTTATGTGAGTGAGGGTTATACACTGTATCAGAAACAGGGGTTGAGGGTTAAACACTAATGAACTAAAGATCATTTTAAACTATATAAAAGATTAATATATCATTTTACAAAAATACCACTACAGAGTTCCCAGTATACATACAAAAATGTAAGTTCTACGAGTTAAAGATACAAAAAATGAATTTTTTTTAAGTAAAAAATAAGTTTGAGATACAAAACATTAACTGAGGTACAAATTACTGACATAAAACCTTCTGAGATAAAATATAATGATACAAAACCTTAACAAAGGTTCACATTAGTGAAACAAACTTTAACTGATGTATAAATTATTAACATAAGACTTTGACAGTTAGTGATACAAAACCTTAACTAAGATACAAGTTTGTGATACAAAACCTTAACTAAGATACAAGTTTGTGATACAAAACCTTAACTAAGATACAAGTTTGTGATACAAAACCTTAACTAAGATACAAGTTTGTGATACAAAACCTTAACTAAGATACAAGTTTGTGATACAAAACCTTAATTAAGATACAAGTTTGTGATACAAAACCTTAATTAAGATACAAGTTTGTGATACAAAACCTTAATTAAGATACAAGTTTGTGATACAAAACTTTAAGTGAGGTATAATTAGTGATTGAAAGCATTAATTAAGATGAAAGTTAGTGATACAAAACCTTAAAAAAGGTACATGTTACTGATACAAACTTTAACTAAGGTATAAGTTAGTAACACAAATGTTTATCAATTAATGATACAAAACCTCAACTGAGGTACAAGTTAGTGATATAAAACATTAACTGAAGCACAAGTTAGTTATATAAAACATTAACTGAAGCACAAGTTAGTTATATAAAACATTAACTGAGGTACAAGTTAGTGATATAAAACCTTAAAAAAGGTACATGTTACTGATACAAACTTTAACTAAGGTATAAGTTAGTAACACAAATGTTTATCAATTAATGATACAAAACCTCAACTGAGGTACAAGTTAGTGATATAAAACATTAACTGAGGTACAAGTTAGTGATATAAAACCTTAACTGAGGTACAAGTTAATGATATAAAACATTAATTGAGGTACAAGTTATTACATAAAACATTAACTGAGGTACAAGTTTGTGATATAAAACATTAACTGAAGCACAAGTTAGTGATATAAAACATTAACTGAAGCACAAGTTAGTGATATAAAACAGTAACTGAGGTACAAGTTAGTGATATAAAACCTAAACTGGGGTACAAGTTAGTTACATAAAACCTTAACTGGGTCACAAGTTAGTGATATCAATACTTAAGTGGGGTACAAGTTAGTTATATGAAACCTAACTAAGGCATAAGTTAATGATACTAAATTTTATATGAGGTAAATATTATTGACACAAAGCATTAACTAAGGTACAAGTTAGTGGTATAAAACTTTAAAAAAGATACAAGTTTGTACTACAAAATTTTAAGTTAGATACAAGTTTGCTCTTAGTGATACAAAATGTTAAATGAAGAAGAAATTGGTGATACAAAGCTTTAACAAAGATATACATTAATGATACAAAATACAAAATTTTAAATGAGCTATAAGTACTAAATATATAACTTTAACTAAGCTAAACATTAGTGACATAGAATAAAAACCCTTAACCGAGAATTAAGAATAGTGATGCAAAACTTCAAAAAATTACAAGTTTCTGATACAAATGGAGCTATATGACAAGTTAGAACATAAATACTACAGAAGCACAAGTTTGTGACACTAAACTTTAGTTTAGTTATTAGATAATTTAATAATATAAATACTGACAAAACTACAAGTTTGTGACACTAAACTTTAATTTAACTATTAGATAAGTTAGTAATATAAATACAAGTTTCTGATACAAATGGAGCTATATGACAAGTTAGAACATAAATACTACAGAAGCACAAGTTTGTGACACTAAACTTTAGTTTAGTTATTAGATAAGTTAATAATATAAATACTGACAGAACTACAAGTCTGTGACACTAAACTTTAATTTAACTATTAGATAAGTTAGTAATATAAATACTGGCACAAATTCATGATATAAGGAATGATTAAAACACCAAACTTACCTTTAGGTTGCTCAGCTGGAAAGTGAGAATGAAAATCTTGTTTTAGTAGAAAGGATCACAAAGTAAATGACAAAGTTTGTATCATTAAATGTAAATTTGTAAGAATATATTACACCATTTACTGGATTTACAAAACTATGTTAAAATATACTGGATGATAACCAAACCTGAGTTATATTTCCAATTAAACATTTAAGTATTTGACTTAAACCAAAACTTTTTGGGAAAACTAAAAATAGATATTCAACAGCCCACTTCTAATTTGTCCTGTTTTAAAATTTCTATCACTAGCTATGATGTTTATAATTCTAATTTTTTCATGGTTATTTATCTTTTTTTCAGCAAGTAATTATATTTTCAATCTCTTTCGTGATAATACTAAATTACAGGTACTACTTATGGGATGAAAATTATTCTTAAAGCCATTACAAAGATGTTTTATCCTCCACTAATGCAGTAACTAAAAAAATTAAACAAACCAGCAGAGCAAAATCATCTTCATCAGCTTTCAACTTTCTCGTCTCCTTTTGAAGTTGGATCAATTCTGAATCATCAATTGCAGCAAAACCATTCATTTCCCTGGAAAAAAATATATATAAAACTATAATACAATATGCCACAAGCATTTATAGAAAGGGAAACTTCTATGTACCTTATATTATATACGATATAAACATAGATGTAATTCCTGCTATGTATATTATAAGCAGGTTCACTGGGACTTGCTTCAGTGGTACAAGAGCTATGTTCAAGGATTTCCTTACAATGAGACTAGCATCAGCTTCTCTGCACGCTTCTACACGGACTTATGGTACTTTGTAGGAGTGGTTTATACCAAGGAGAGGTATTAAATATAAGGAATGAGATAGAATTCTGGGTATGATTTATACCAAGGAGAGGTATTAAATATAAAGAAAATGATACAATTCTAGGTGTGATTTATATTGTTACAAATCTACTTGTTTGTTAATTTCTGGTAGAAATTCTTTCCGAGAAACTTCAGTGATACAAGTCCTTAATTGGTTAAACCTGTTTCTTCTTCCTCGATACAAACTTTTAGTACACAGTAATTTTACAATCAGTATGTTTCTCGGCACTTTAAACTTAACTACTTTTATAATACATTCATGTTAATTTCTGGTTGAAATTCTTTCCAAGAAACTTCAGCGATACAAGTCATTAATTGGTTAAACCAGTATATTCTTCCTCGATACAAACTTTTAGTACACAGTAATTTCACAATCAGTACGTTTCTTGTCAGTTT